AAATGTTTGACATTTAGGTATTTTGTGTAACACAACCCATGGCCCGTACCTCGTGTGTTTATTGTTGTGAGACTTTAACTGTATTGTTTCTTTTACTTCTGGGCTTGACCTCTCTTTGAAAATCTTCTAATCTCAACAAGACTTTCACCTGGTTAAACAAAGGTTGAATACAGAGAGACTGCGGCACTGATTTTTCTCTAAGAAGTTAAAGCTATTACAATGTTAGGTTTCTACATATAAAAAATGATGAAACGTATACAAATTAGATTTTTAGGATCTAAATGTCAAATAAAGACAGTAGTGCTTTCTTTAACATTTCCTCCTCCCTTCCCCGCCTCCTTCGACACCTCCTCGCTCTCCGCAGATCTTTTCTCCATTTCCTCATCTGCTCTCGTCAGTGTGAGCTCAACACATCTGTCAGCAGCTGCACTCTGTGTCATCTTCTCCTCCTCTGTCTGTCCACCCAGCAAACTCTCCAAGTCAATCAAATTCACAGGCTGAACATAAAAAAGGAACAGGAAAAGCAGGATATAATCTTTGAGATAAGAGAAGAATGAGAGTAAAAAAAAGTCACATATTTGCCTACAGTATCATTTATCCAGTCAGTTTTTATCTCACTCTTACACAGATGTAGAATGCAATATGTCTGTCATTGCTTTAAATCTTATGCTATTTATTTATCACCAGTGAGGCTTACCAGATGTAAAACCAACACATGGAGGATTTGTAAATTCCTCAGTAAGTCATGAGTAACTGTTGACTTTGCAGCAATTTCAATACCGCAGATTCCTGTGAGGGATTTCGCTTTTCCGTACATTTGAAATGTTTCTTTTCTCAAACTTTCTGCAGTTCCTTAACCCCTTACTATATCTTAATCTTTACAATCTTAACAAGTTATTAATCCGATATTGGTCAAAGAAAAACAAAATATAATATGAAAAATGTCCAATGTCAGTGATGTCTGATCCAATTTGAAGGAAATCTGGAGAAACAAGAAAGGCAATGGGACTACATAATATGTCTGGATTTAAGAAAATGTTTTTTTGTGTTTTTTAATAAAACAGGCTTTTTTTTTGCTTAATCTGTAACTTGTTAGTTGCGAAAAGTGATGTCCAAAAATATATTAAATACAAAATGAATAATGGCATTGCTACATAAATAATATGTGTTACAGTAGCTACCTGCTGCACCAATTACAGAACATTGCAATAACTTAAAGGGGACCTATCATGCAAAATGCACTTTTGTACGTCTTTTATACATGAATATGTGTCCCCGGTGTTCCAGGGAACTCACCAAGTGTCAGAAAACACAACCCTCTCTATTTTCCTCCATACCCAAATCTCTAAAAAAGGGGCTGCAACGGATCTGATAAAAACTGATCCAGATTTGAACACTGTCCTGACGTCAGGACGGTGGCGCTACGGCTATTGGGCCAACTCCACCAATCAGGAGGAGACAACCACGGCATTGCCGTTCGAAAGCGCTGTAGACGTTGTAGTACATATGCCAGGCCTCTAGATGGTGCTGTTGCTCACAGAATCAACCCTTGCAAAAACAGAGCTAACATTTTTCAAATTGAGCAAAATGAGGCATGGCTAAAATGCATGATCTGTTTGGTATTTTGAAAAAAAAAAGTATAAATATGCCTTATATAGGTATGGTCCTACACTATATTATTCAAATATAGCATGATAGGTCCACTTTAACTAACTGGACTTAAAGCCAGTTTGTGAACACATGGTGACTGGTAGGTCTTTACCTTCTAAAATCCACTGCTCCACAGGAAGTGATGTGCTTTATGTTCCTTGCCACACCTACACTTACTTCCTTGGAATAAACAGAGGAAGATCTGAGTGGGCAGCTTTAGCAGCAACAGTTGGAGGGATAGGTGCTCTTCAATATTTCATATTAACAATAGATCACACGGCTTTGTGTAAAGTGAAAGGTTTTGCTTGTAGTGATGAATCCGCATCATTTGTTTAACTGACTCTGCAGTTCCCTTCAGCCATTTTAGGGTCTTTCAGCACAGATAGGTAAAGTGATCTAGTTGGTGACCATAGAGGAGCATTTAGCAGCTAAAGATTCTTATATTTCCTTCAGGAGAGACTGAGGTCAGCGGGGAATGAATCTTAACTCAGAAACATACATCGTAATTAACGCTTATTTTGTTGGGCTGGATCTGTAAAAAGCCTCTTCAAATTTATAACGTAATAATATGTTATTAGTCTTTTGTTTAAGCTGGTTCTGCTGCCCCCAAGTGGCTAAAAAGTAAATACAAATCTGGTAAGTCAAAAGTAAGGATATCTCAGATGATAAATGCCTGTTGCCGAGATCAAATCAAAAGTGGCACTGTATTTCAAATATATCAAATGTACGATTTTTTCACAGTCCAACAGTCTCTAAAAATGCACTGCAACATTTTAGCATAATACATGTTGCTGAAAATCTGAAGAACACCCAGTAAGCTTTTTTATTATCCTATTATTCTGTTCCCATGTTCTGCCCTGCTGGCACCTCCGCCCTCTCGCAGTGCCCCATCCTTTCAGCAGTGTTTTCTTCCCCTAAATGAGTCAGAGAGAGAGAGAGAGAGAGAGAGAGAGAGAGAGAGAGAGAGATTGAGCCTCACACCTTCCGTCTGCACGCACTGCGTCCATCTGTCAGCCCTGCAGACGCACTCGCTGACAGATGAAAAGCGGGCTGCAGCTCTCACAATTGAAAAGCTGCAACTATTTCGAGGACATTCACTAAGACGGTCCCACGCTGCACTGTGAGGTATTGTTCTGCACTGGAATCTCTCTCTGTGGCAGACCATTGATTGATAGATACTCAGAGATTATTATCTCGTCCCACAGATACTGTAAAAATGCACCATCTTGTTTGGATAAGATGCGATCTTGAAGAAAAACAGGTACATGCACATAGATTTACGTTTTTTAATGGCACCTTTACACTGATTACAATGAGAGAAAACGAAAATGTAACCTAAATGAGAAGAGTCTGTACAAGATTGTCGATACAAAGATTATCGATAACATTTCGTATAATCCGTCAGCACATATAAATACATATTTTACAATGACATGAACATGGTATTTGCTACATAGCTTACATAACTACTATAACACAAATTCCACTCATGCAGTATAATGCCCGATTATATGAAAACAACTAAATAAATTACAAACTTTTGAATCTTGAGACAATTTACAATGTTTAGGTTGGCCAATATGTTGCTAGAACTATTTTATGGTTCAAAGTACAGTATTCGTACTAAGCTATCTAACAGTAACGATCATTTCAATACTAATGTCATTCCATGTACATGCTAGTGGTAAGTGCACATATACACAGTCTGTGGCAGTCCATCAGCTTTGACACAATACAACTTTAACATGTGAAATTATTAGTGAAACAAAGGGAACTGATTGGACAACAGTTTTCACAGAAGAACACAGCAATGATTGTGGAAAATGTCCAGCTCATCCAACAGAAAGTTATACATCAAAGAGCACACTCACAGCTGTGTGGTGTGACTTTGTCAACAGATGTTTCAAACCAGAACAAATAGGAAAACAAGAAGAAGATGCCAGAGGGAAATATTTAGCTAGTGAGGAAAATCATTTAGATAGACTGCATGCTTACTCTTTGCTGTTCTGATGTACTGATAATAACTTGCAATTTCTAACGTGAGGGCATTGTACTGGAGGGATGAACAAGAAAGATAACATCACAGAGGTTATCTGAATATAGGCTAGGTGTAGGCTAGACTTTCTTTAAAGTTGAAACAAAGGACTTCACAGGTTTATGAGAAAACAAAAGGGATTTAAAATTGGCATATAAGAGACTAAAGGCCTGGCTTAGAGTTTGATTCTGAGCTTTTCAGGACAAAGATATCATACCAATGAGTATTATAAAGAATGGGCATACATGATGTATCCATATGTATATATTTGTACATATTCCCATTTGAGTTTAAAGATTTATGTGCAAAATACATGCTTAAGAACGACCACATGTGTAACTAAAGTCACCAGGTGATTTCAATATATCACTTCACATGGTTGTTCAAACACACTCTTGTGAAGTCCTACCTGATTTATTTCATCCTTATCATCTGCAGAGAGAAAATCCACCTTGTTCAATCAACTACATGACAAGCATACAGTTTCTTTCATATTTGAGATTTGAGATTTGAAAAAAATGTTTAAACATCTCTGGACAGAGTCACCCCACTGTTTGATCCGTATGTGGCATGTGCGCCTTTCAGAGAGAACTGTAATGGGAAACAGCTGATCTTAGTTTTTCATTTTTTTATAATATAGTGGTCAGATTCTTGAGAACACACAGGAACGATAAGATGGAGACCTGAGAGAGAGATAGAGAGAGAGAGAGAGAGATGAGAGAGAGAGAGAGAGAGAGACTGAGTAGAGAGAGAGAGGAGAGAGAGAGAGAGACGAGAGCGATGAGAGAGAGAGAGAGAGAGAGAGAGAGAAACTCAGATTTTTGGTGCTGGTTTCCAATGAGACTTAAGTCACCTAACAGAAGCAGTGAAGGTACAAATGTAGCGATAAAATGAGAGTAAAATGTCAAATACATGAATAACCACTTTACAAGAGAGGGTGGGAAACAGTATGTCTCTAGAACACCTCCAACAAGAAATATGTCTCATGGCTTTGGTACTGTAAAAAACAATACTCTAATACTGTTCTGTAGTTTTGAAGATGATTTTGATAGGCCGTTTTAAAATCCTTTGGGTTTTGTGGATCACTTATATGTTTCTCGTCATGCTCCATGGGGGTCTAATCACCTACAAATATGACTTTACATTTAAATCCACTCTCTCCAACTAGAGCTCACATTGGCTTTGAAAACATCTAATCCAGGGATCACTTATATAGAGTCCTAATTAGCTTGACTCGTAGCAGCTGCTGCAGGTGACCCCTCGTTAGCGGCTCCGCACAGGTGTTTCCAATCAACCTGGCTGATTAGACCTCTGCTCAGGAGGAAGCCATGGAGGAGCAAACAAACTCAACTTATTAATGAGTATGATGAGGGCTTACGTTTTCCCAGCCAATGTGGTGCAACAAAGCACCTGAGAGAGGGAGGAACATATTCATCAAATGCACAAAACAGAAGGAGGTTCAGCCAACATGAATGAAAACACATGTGGAGGAGCATCATGGCAGTGTGGGGCTTTCAAATGGCAATTACATGAGACTAAATGGTTATAAAACTGCTTCAAAACCAACCTGTTAAAACATTTTAAACACATTTTGGATCTCATAATTTAATTATTTTAGTTTAGTAGCAAATCTGCAGGCATGAAAATTGTAAAAAAATATATATCCTGGACATATTTTAAAATGCACCGAGGAGTTATTCTGATTAATTGCAATAATACAGGATTAAAAGCAGTTTATGTATGTTGGCGGGTTCTGCTAAAGTAATCAACATGAATTTAAGCAGCACATATGGCTCAATATTTTGGGTTATCTATATTGGTTTCAGTTTAAAGCAGCATCTCATTTACCTTTTTGAGCCTCTTAAATGAGCAAAATAGAGCAAACAGGGTGAAAGAGGGCTTTACAGGTGAGAAGAAGGCACTATTGAAGAGTGCACATGCAACCCTGATCCATTATACTTGAGATCTTATTGTGAGGCACTTTTGGATGAAGTTCCTCTTTTTAAAGCCATCTAAATCTCACAACAGATTAAGGAGACTCTGTGACATATCCAATGATCCGACAGCTATCCACGAAATCTGGAAACAATTGTTTGAAGGCACGTTTTACACCAAGGCATTGTTGATGATCTTTTTTTGTACTGTTTGCTATAAAGGTTAAACGTATCTCAACTAAGGAGAGCGGCTTTCATCCTGCAGAAGGTGTGGATACAGGTGGAGGTTTTTATGGCTCAGTTCGGCTGATGCCAGATGATATACTCTTAAATGAAGCTATTACATTAGGCACATGCTATATTGTTCTTTATATATTACCCAGGATGAGGAACCATGCTAAATGCCATATTCCACTATATACATTAGTAGATGTAGGCGAGCTATTTCTGCTGTTACTGAGGAGGTTGTGGTTGTGTCCAATACTAACAAAAACCTTGAAGTTGCTTCAAATAAAGCAAAAAAGGAAGTTATATAAATCTACAGCAAAAAAGATTATTTCAAAATAAGCTTTGATAAACATGTTTTGGGATTTTTCTTTCATACATTACACTGGATTTCTTAAAAAATAAGGATATTTGTCTTCTTTCTTTACATTCTTCATTGTTTGTGTCTGTTAAAAGTCTGTGTACACATTAACATGGCTGCAGCATGATGGGGAAGAGTTGCGTGACTCCATGTTTCTGTATAAAAGTCCTCATGGTGTCCTGCATGTGGCTTTCCAGCAGTGAGTCTGGACCGAAGGAGTCTGCATGCTCAGGGACATGTCCGTGTGAGAGCTGGTGTGAGAGCGTGCTAACACTGGTAGTGGATGTGCTGGTGCTGGTGCACTTTCCCGTCCACGTGTGAATGTGTGTGTGTGTGTATATCCGTGTAGATCTTCGGATAGACCTTGGGGGCCAATCCAGTGCCTCCCTGAGCGACGAGCAGCTGCTGGTGGGCGATGTAGTCCTCGTATGAAAGACAATCTTTATCCCCATTGGCCGGTTGAGGAGTTACCGCAGGACAGGCTCGGTCTCGATTAGGGGCCGGAAGACGCTGGGCGGTGGGAAGAGCAGAGGAGGATGAAGAGGAAGAAGAAGAGCAGGTACGTTTGGATTGGCAGAACCAGAGGAGGGCGGTGCCTAAGATGAAGGCGACACCGGCTGGGATTCCAATAATGACGGGCCAGGGGAGGCTCGGGGAAGATGCTGTGGGGACAGCGTTGTTTTGGGGCTTCAGATCTGCAAAGGAGAAGAGGAAATGAACAACAGTAAATATGAGTGGTTTGAAGAACATGCAGTTAGCTGATCTGAGCTAGCATGTTATCATCAGGTGATTTTATAATAAGAAGAGGTGTATGCTTTGCTGTTTTCTGAGGTGAAGTAGCTGCATGAGATTGCTCTGTTGTATGGTGGCTTGACCAAAAAGAAATACAAATTCTAGTCTGACCATAAGCTCATTTGTCCGAAAGCCTGTACACTGATAAGAAGTCATTGTTCTTTAAATACGCACTGCGCAACAACCAGAAGCACGTGGCTAACTATTGTGCAGCACGATGGCAATGGCATGTTAAGCTAACAACCTCTGAAGACTGTCAATAGTGTCTCTTTTTCATGTAACTGGTCACTATGAAGAGCAGCAAAACAACTTTTATATTAACTTTCTCTAATCAAATCTGCTGGTCAAGTAACTTCCTCTCTAGTATTTTAAACCACAGCAATAATAATCACATACAACTCTTCATGTGCATGTCACGGTGCGTCCCAATACCTTTAATAACATACTATTTTGTATGGTAGAAGACAATTTAGTATCTCCCAGTACATCGTATGTCAGGCCAGCATGCTTTTCCAGGCTACTCTGACTCACAATTGTTTCCACAGGGATAAAGTTCAAGGTGCAATGTTACAACTTATGTCCCAAGTCTGTGCATACTGCATGCCACAGCACATACTTTATTGGGGCAGCTGCAGTACATATTAAAAGAAAAATAAAGTACGTGATGTAGTTTGCATCCTTGATCTCTCTCTGACCTGGCAGCACGGTGAGGTAGGCGCTCCTGAAGCTGTAGCCCATGGTGTTGGCTCCCAGGCAGATGTACATGCCGGCGTCCTCCTCCTTGGCTCTGGCGATCAGCAGCTTGTTGAGGTACGACCCGTCAGGGCGGGACCACACCTCCCCTGTGGGCAGGACCACGAAGCGGTGGTCTCCAACCTTTGGAAAGCATCATGCGAAGTACACGTTTATCGATCCATTCAGTTCATCTGCCTCAGAGAATAAGGATTACATGTAGCAGTGTGTGTATTTGTACCTCGATGGTGGAGTTGAATTTGTTCTCGTCACCGGGTTCGACTCTTTTCAGCCACTGAATGACAGGCTTGACGTCGCTGCGGACTTTACACTGGAAGGAGGCCGTTCCTCCGTAGTCCACGGTGGTGTTGACGGGGTGAGTGCCAGTCAGAATGGGTTTAGAGTTGGTACGTTCTGAAGAAGGAAAAACACAGAAACAAAAACTAAGATAAAAATCTATTTTAATTGTACAGAAGAATTGCTTATGGATTTTGTAACCTTGTCTAATTCATTTTCAATAAAAATCAGGGGAAAAGCAGAGTTTGGTAAAGCCACATTTATAGTTCATCAAATGATTGGAGTAAATAAAACTAACAAACCCGAGAGAATATTATATGATTTGCAGCATTATCTGAACAGTAACTGATGAATTGATCACCACATCCTCCCTGTCTGTTGAAGATACACAAACACACCCTTATCTCCAGCTCTTTCTCAGTTTATACAGCAGAGTAAACACACCTGCCACAGATATTCAAAAGTCTCTTTTCTACTATCTGTTAATACGATCACACTAGAACGTAACCGGAAAAATGAAGTTGCAGGTGTATTTTTTTTACCTAGAGTTATCACATTACACTACATTGCAGTAGTGTTACACATGTTTTTTATAAGCTCAAGGTGCTCTAACTTTAAATATTTTAACTTTATAAGTGTGAATATAGTCACAGCATTTCCTCAAGACATCTGGTGAACTGGATACCTACAATGAAATGCAAATAACCAAACATGCTAACCACAGGGCGCGACTCACATGTGGACAGGAGGAATGCTGAATGGTGTATGGAGGGTAATATTCATTTAATATATCTCGTTGTAATTGTTTCAGCTTCAAGAGCTGAAGAATGCTCTCTCAGGCAGGTGCAAACCCACAAGATAAATTATCTATGAATTATGTACCTCACATAGTTTATCTACTATCTCTACTTAGGGATTATATATGTTTTTTTATGGGAGATTTACAGTTTTTCTGTGCTGGACTCCCTTTTTGAAAGTTTTCTTTCTAACAGCTGTGAATGACTGACGGCCGAGTGAATCTCCACTGATGGAGAAAATGTCACATTTGACATTAGCAAGCAGCGGTTGATTTACTCCCTTTCTGTTCATGTGTGTGTGTGTGTGTGTGTGTGTGTGTGTGTGTGTGTGTGTGTGTGTGTGTGTGTGTGTGTGTGTGTGTGTGTGTGTGTGTGTGTGTGTGTGTGCACATGTGTGGTGTCTTTCAGGAAAGACTACAGCTGTACTTTAATGGTCAACAGATGTGGCAAGTAAAGAGAGAGGAGCTGGTCACATTCAGTAACACACACACGCAGACACACACACACACACACACACACACACACACACCACACACACACACACACACACACACACACACACACACACACACACACACACACACACACACACACACACACACACACACACACACACACACACACACACACACACACCAATTCAACTCTACCAAACAACTTCACATTAAATCATCCAGCGTCAAAACAGCTTATGCCGCCCTCCAACACAACCTAATACATCAGAAAACACTCACAAATCATCACAGCACACATTCTGCTCTCAACAGTAAAACCGGAGCGGCCTCAGACTGAAACTGCAGCTGGCTCTCTGTCCGCTCCGAATCCTCAGAGCATTCCTCTCTCACTCCGCTGGTGTTTGCTGACAAGCCTGGTGCCGATCAATAAATGCCTCTGAAGGCTTTTCAAAACTATTTTAAACTCTGATACTTGGTACAAATCATTAGCTAGCTAGTTGCAACCAATCATAAAACCTAAAAGACCTACATTCCATTATTTAAATGCATTGCAATTAAAATGTGGACATTATCAAACAAGATTGTTTTGGATGAGTTAGATTTTGTGTCAGAGATATCTTACTATCATACTTACTTGTCACTTGTTGGCAACATTTTGTACAGGAACACAGGAAAGATATGTATGTTTCATGTTGGGTTGAACAGGCCCTTTACAAAATGTATATGCTGATAACTAACCGTCCTTTTCGCTCTTAAAACAAGATGTCTTCAGGTACTTTCCAAGCAGAATACGCCTGATCATTGGCATCAGTCTCTTTGACAGCAAATCATTAAAATAGTTGAATACTTAATTATAGTATTTTTATGATAGCTTATAAATTCTACACAATCCCGGTATTGTGAGTCAGAACGGAAAACACCCTTATTATTTAGTCAGACAGGGCTGTCAGTCAAACAATAAACGATGGATGTTATTGTTTGGGTGAGACACATTCCTGCTGTTGTATCATATTCCAGGACCACATTCACAAAAATGTGTTCTCTGATGTGTCATGACAGGAATATACCACATGCAGCCATATGTTACATAGCCTAAGCATTTAAGAGGCACATGTTAATGTTATTATGTCTCTTCAAGATCTTTTAAGGTGCATTAAGTGCAAATAGTGAAGTACACGGTCAACTACTGCCCTCACTACTATTTATCTTTAAGGTTAAGCATCTAGTTTAAAGGTGACTCACGTATGACTTCCACTTTGTAGGTGGCGTTGATCTCTCCTGCCTTGTTGGACACGTGGCAGGTGTACTTCCCGCTGTGCTTGGGCATCAGGTTCTTCAGACTCAGAGTCCACTTCTTCTTCTTCCCTTCCCCTCCTGCTCCTCCTGCTGCAGCGTCCTCGTCCACCAGTGGCTGGCTGTCCTTCAGCCACACGATGTCGGGGCGAGGGTTCCCGCTCGCTGCGCACTTCAGACGCACTGAGCTGCCCACAGGACGAGCGATGACCCGCTTCCTCATCTTTGACGGCTGTGTGAAACGTGGACGCACTGCGAGTAGAGAGAAAGGGGTTAAAACTGTGATCTAGTATTGGAGATAACATTTGAATGCTTTTTGCTGCCTTGAGAATATGGACTCGAAACCTAACACTACTCTGTATAAAACTTTCACCTCAAGTAAAGAGACAAAAAACACTATTTTTCTCACACTCAGTCAGACTCAGATGGGGAAATGTAAAGGGGAAAACAGAAGAAGTTATTAGTGGTTTACGGAGCAGTTTTATCTTTACAAGCAGTGTTCTGTTCTTCAAAACGACAGATTGGGAAAGACGGTTGAACTCATCAGAGAGACTTTTATGAGACGTAAAGAGCGATCAAAGACATGTCACTTGAAGCTCACGAATGCAGTTCTTCTGAATGTTTCTGTAGCTCATCATTTACAGAGAAGCAACCATTTTGCTATTAAAGAATACAAAAATGCATTTTGTAGTTTTGTTGTTGTTTCATTGTTTTCTTTTGGGAATATAATATTCTTTGAAATATGTTTTTTTTAACGCCCTACAGCTAGGGCTGCTCGATTATGGCAAAAATCATAATCTCGATTATTTGGGTCAATAATTTATATCACGATTTATTATTAAAAACGATTATCCATTTACTTTGAAAACATCCATTTATTGAAAAAAATAAAATTGAACAGTATGTTTTTAACAGTTGATTACCCTGAACTTTAAGTATAATTCAACTGAAAAACCAATAAAAATAAAAATAAATAAAATAAAATAAATAATAATAATCGTTTTATTTCGATTATGTTGTTTTCATAATCGATGCAAGCCAAAATCGTAATTGCGATTAAAATATGATTAATTGAGCAGCCCTACCTACAGCTAACCTTCTCCATTCTTCTGCATATTTGGAAATGTAGTGGTCAGCGGCTGCAACAAAAATACCAACTTTGCTCTTAAACGAGACATAATTCACAGTTTATTAATATATCTTTTTAATAAGAAAAGAAGAACAAATGCCAGGATGAAGTACTGTGTATTCTCTGAAGAGTAATCTGGTGGTTTGAAAAACTCTCCAGAATCACAGAGCTAGTGTGATATTAATTGCATTCTCTACCAAGGAATACTCTGCTGTGGTCCTTCTTCTTTGCACCATGAAATCCATTTCTTAGTTAGGAGATGATAACTATCTGCATTTACCCACAAGTACATTCATACCGAAAAAGACGTCCCTCTTACAACCTATTCACCTGTTTTGACAAACTTAGCGAACGTGAAAAATGGGGCAAATTGAATGGTCTCAGTCAGAGATAGAGTGACTTTAGAAAACACTAAAGAGGTGGTGAGGGGGGTCAGACATGGTGAGGTCATCGCTGCAGGCCGTGCCAAGAACTGCATGTTGTGCAGTAACAACATATGGCAGCGTGCCTCCTGGTATATACAAACCTAATTTGAGGTAATAAACCTAATTGTTTGTTTAAGAAAAATGTTTGAATCACTTCCTCTTCTGGCTGACACACACACACACACATTTTCCACTGATCCTGCACCTCTGGCCCCAGGGTTGCACACCGCTGCTGCTCTTAAAGAAAGCCACATATTTGGCCTGAAATCATGCATCCATGAGTCCCCGTCGTAAAGAACGTCTGGACCGCTCTGTAACATCTCTGTAAACATCCAGTCATGAATGCACATCTTTGCACAGGTCGTAAAAAGCCAGACAGCGAACACAGCAAACATCCGTTCATTCATGCAAATCCTTTCTTACAAAACATAAAATGGCAAGTTAACCCTTTACACCTCTTCAAACATCCACATCCTTCCGCACAGTTACATGACTTAACCCAATCCGGCCATTCAAACAAACATATTCCTATTTAAGGTGCAAACCAAACAGAAACCCATCTGTTCTATGTATCTTTTATTCTCTTTTATCTACCCTCTTCATCACCTCACCTCTGGCTACTAGAGAACTGCCTAATTCAAGTTCCTGTTTTGTTTAACCTTCAATAACCCTGCACGATTTTAACAAATTCATCTTACTAATGAGTATGGTATCCTTTGTGTATATTTTACCTGTAGTAAGTTGGATTTTGTATAGTATATTCTAACTTATTTATAATGTGTATATCTTCCTAAAGTTGATACGTATATATTTACTGTTTTTATGTTATTTTTAATCATGTGCCTTGCCCGATAACCTGATGCTGCTGAAACAAATGCAATATATTAGTATCTATTCATACACAAATATCCCTCTTTGTAAAAACACAACAATCGGTGAGCAGTGAAAGCAGATCAAAGAAAAAATAACTATCCAGTAGGGAGGGAGGAGAGGAAATCATTCACAGGAGCGCTTGATTTTACAGCCCTCATGTTCTAGCCACAGCAGATAGCCATCAACCGGGCGGTAAATCACCCTGAAACTGCTGCTGTTGCGCCTCTCTCTTTGGATGCAGTTATTATCCTAGCTCTGAGTAAACAAACAAAGGGGGAGAGTTATGTGACGGGTTTGTAGATTTCACTACGGCTGCATTTCTCAGAGGAATACAGTCGTCTGCTGTTGGCGGGAAGCTGGGCAGGATGACAGGAGAAACATACGCCCCCCCACCTCGACTCTGAGGAAAGCTACTGGACTGCAGCTGAACTGTGACCGGTCTGAGTCAATAGACCCTCAGAGAGAGGAGGATAAATAGAAGGCAATGATTAATAGTTTAACGTTTTAGTAATGTCCTACAATTCAACTGCTCTGGCTTAGGCTGGAAATAATTGAGAAGAACAGAGAGGAGCCAAAGCAACAGCTGAACCAAAGTGAGAGAGAATGAACGAAATATAGCAAGTGAAATGAACTGATTTATATGATCTGAGCTGAACCAAGTCAAGGAGAGAAGTGAAGGAGAGAACAGATGGAAAGAGATAGATAGAAGTTCAAATGAAGGTTAGCACTGACAGATTGCTAAAGACGAATACAACTGGAGTGACAGCAGAAGGAAAACGAGAACAAAGAGAGCGGGTTGGAGTTAAAACGATATAAAAGCAAAGGTAAGAGAGGGCACACGAAGAGGTAGAAAGAAAGAAAAACAGAGTGAGGGGAGAGGGGAGAGGGTGAGAGGCAGAGTGGGGAGAGGGCAGCTTGTTCTGGGTCTCTGGGGCCGCTTCAACGCCACACTTCACAGTGTAGAAATACTGCCGACCCCCCGACTCACCGCCTTTGATCACAGAGTGTGTCAGACGCAGAGAGAGAGAGAGAGAGAGAGAGAGAGAGAGAGAGAGAGAGAGAGATGAGAGAGAGAGAGAGAGAGAGCAGCTAGTGATTTCCATTTCAGATTCAAGCTAACTGATGTCATTTTGTTATATCTTGATTTGGGATCTTTTGGATTTCAAGGTTTAAGGTGAACGTTTAGGTCAGGATTTGGACTTGTTTTTGCTGAGAGTTAGATGAATGATACCACTTTCATGTCTGTGAAGCTAGCCTGTCTACAACAATCCTTGACAATAGTTATTAGAGGTTGTTTGTTTAAGCTATACACATTTTAAGGAGTTCTAACCCTAACCCTAACAACAGCAAGTATTTTTGTATGAGTTTGTAACCACCTGAAACGCTACAAAATGTGGAACATTACTTTCTTTTAATCCACAAACTTTTCACATTTCTGTTCATGGAATTTGATTAGGAGAGTATGAAAAGCTGCATGAAAGCAGTTTTTTTGTATTACTTTGGACAGCGCCAATCTAGCTTCTCCCTAGTTCCTATTTGTTATGCTAAGCTATGCTAACTGCCTTCTATCTCTATCTCCGTACTCCACGATCTCACAGACGTATTCATCTCATTATCTGACCCTCTATTTTTCAAAATGACAAACTATTTAGTCAAAACAGAGTTGAATTTACACGCATAGTTCAAGATTCATCCCTTTATTCATCAATGAAATATGATCCAGGAAGTATAGTTTGCGTAACAGATAAATGTGTTTAAAGTCCTTGAAACACTCACTGACGTTATCAGGGAGGCAATCATTGTATCTTCTGTCCCAACCATGGCAAGGTTAACAGCGGTTGCAGTGTTCACATTACTATTAAATAAGGGGGCTGTGCTCTGGTCAGTTTGAAGCAGCCTCTGCAATAGTCCTGAGTGTTTACATTTGATCGTGTGTGAGCACAGAGTGGAAAAAAGATAAAGAAAGAATGTGTGTGGAAAAACAAATAGAATAAATGTTTGTTGACTTTTAATTGTGAGTGTGAGCGGATGTTTATGACCGAAAGAGGGAGAGAAAGAGCGGGAGACAGGGAAGAAGAGTTGTATAAAAGGATAACAAAAGCAAAGGGTTAAATTACATGGCAGGGAGACCGGGGGGAAGGAATGTGTCCCACCGAATCACACCTCACACAAATAGACTGTCCTCCACTCTGTCAGAGTCAATTATCAGAGCAAACAGCCACCCTGATGTGTGTGTGTTTGTGAGTCTGTGTGTGGCCCTCCGACAGTGTGCAAGGTGTTTATTGCACAATCTGCTCCTGTACTTTTTAAACGTTACACACTCCCTCAGCTATCTAAAGTGTCACTTCTAGCCTCACTTCTCATTTTCTGAAATGTTTGTTATAGGAGTAGTGATGAGTTGAGATGTGAGCGGTTACCCAGTTTTCCAGCCAGCTCCGGGGCGTGTTCAGGGTCGCCATTGGCCTCCACCGCTCCACCTCTGGAACTGGAGTCATCTGGTGACGGAGAGAAAGATGAGCATCGTTAGGAAATGAGCAACCTTTGAATAGTAGAGCTGCAACAATTCATCAACTAATACATGAGTTAATCCACATAAAATGAATGCCAACTTTTCCATTAAGGATTTACTGTTATAAAAGTAATGTTTCATGTAAAAACAACAGAACATTTTGTTGTCAGCTTCTCAAATATGGAGTTGTTTTTTCTTTTCTCTGTCTAGTATCATATTCAACCAAATATGTGTGGATTTTAGACTTACAAAACAAGCCATTTAAAGACATCCCCTTCAACTTGAGAAACTGGGATTTTCACTCTTTTGTAGAGCAAACAATGAATCAAAAGTGAGGCTAATATATGAATAATCCATTCTGGATAATGGTTTATATTAAAAAAAATGGGTTAGTTGTAGGCCCAATCATGTGTAATAGTGTATACAGTACAATGAGACACGATGTAGTAAACTCTATGAATGAGACAAATACATATTGTAAATCTGTACTTTTGGTTGTAAGACCATTCTTTTTAAATCCACTAGTTGCATCATTTAAAGTAAAAATAAAGATTAATCATTTGCACCAAAGCTCAGCTAGGTCTACTACAAATGTTTTATAAGAATACATAAAGTCTCACAAGTGTATGGGAGTTAGGATGGATTATTTAGGAGGGTTTTTTCTCTGTCTTCTATCAGTATCTGACAGGTCTTTTTATAAGATGCAGCTGTTTCAGCATGGGGTCGCATGGCTGTCCAACATAAATTCAAGTTATCAGTGATACATTGCCCTCACAAATTGGATGCACATTGTTACAAGGTGGGGAGGTGGAGGGCAGAAGCATCACTGTTGATACTTTAAACATCTGAAAATATTGTATTTTCAATGTTAATAGTCGGCAACAGTAAAAGTACATTTAGAAAAGCAGACTGTGTAGAAGGTAAAATCTGGCTGTAAGGTGACACTGAAGTGTTTCAAATCAAAGGCAAGAAGCAATTTCTGTCTTTCAAAGTGTACTTTCCACACAGCACTTGGCCCTCATCACCCCACCACGCATTTGAAATTGCTCAGCCGCTTCACATTTCTTGTCAAACCAGAAAACCAAATGACAAATTACGTGATATGTCTGTCCTCTGCTCTGACTGTGCCAGCGACATGTTGTCACTCACTGGTGATGAAAGCTGTGAAATTATTGCTACAAGTCCCTTTACTTGCCTCTACTTTAACCTAAAATGACTAATTCCTGACTCATGGCATTTAGGAAGCATGATCATTTGTGCCCTAAACATTTGAAATTAGGATTTCTTTCTCCCCAAACTTGCTTTTACAAAGAAATGGTTTGATCCATAGAGTGAATTCCTTCTTGAATACCTTCATACTGTATGTGCCGTTCTCACACTCCACGGTATCATATTGCTTTGGCTCTCACGCTGGTGTATTGGTTTACGTCCCTCAGCAGGTCTTCCCACATTGATTATCAAAAAGATACAAACATCTGTCTGAACCTTCACACTTGGAACCGCTTCAAGATGGGTCCAATGTATGCGAGGGGCCCTTTAAAACAGAGAGGGGGGTACTGATACAGTGCAATATCAGGTCTGTCCAAATATGTAAGGGGATGTGTGTGCAGTTAACTTGAACCTGAAATTTCAACCAAAACCTGTTGGTCGTTATGGAAAGAAAAGGACTAAAAAGCCTCGGACCACCTGCAGGGAAATTCGTGAGAGTGTGTGATTTTAAATGGATATGTTTATTGCTCATTTCGGTACGGATAAGTGCGTGGATTTAAAAATCCACCTGCAAGCTCAGAGTGTTGAATGCAGCGCCAAATGACTTAAAAGCATCACTGTTTGGATGGTGGAGTCGCTTTCGTAATGCAAATACGAGGCATGACCTGCATCCTGGAGGCTGGCATTAATAGCAGGCAGGCAGCATGAGTGTGTCTTTGTGTGAGTGTATGATATGAATTCCTGAATGGGTGTGTCTGTGCGTGTATGTGCAATCCGCCTTTATTTAACTAAGTGGTAACTTGAGATGGGGGTATTCTTGTTGTACCCCCCCCCCCAGACTCCCCCTTTATCTCTCCCTCCCGCCACATGCACGGCGTGTTCTGAGAAAGGGCAGCGCGTTTGAAGACGAGCGGCGCGGGGGTCTGATGTGAAGAGGGAACATGCTCTAGCGCTCTGAGCAGCTAGCGGACCCTCCCCCAGGCGTGGAGCGAGCCTGTAAACCTCTTTTTGCAGACCGACCCCCTACAGATGCACTCAGACGGGGGGTGGACCGCTTTCACTGTCCATAAACTGCAGCCATACATCAAAAGTATCGAAATATTTCCAAAATTCAAAACATATATATGTGTAGCAGCTGTGTACTGGTATACTGATGCAGAGGATAATCAGAACCTGAGAGGTAACAGAAAACCATGACTCTGACTTAGGGCTGCACGATAATGGAAAAAACTGACATTGTGATATCGTGCAGCCCTACTCTGACTCCAGTGTCACTCAAGACCTGAAGAAGCTTTCCTCTAAAGATGTTCACAGAGCAAACTGAATAAGTATCATCTTTATAACTATAGTGTTAACCATAACTAACATCATACTCTTGAACACTACTTAATAGAATATATACTGGTGCAATAGCCCACAATGTGATTTGATATGTTCTGATTATATTCAGAAAGATCAATTACTCACATAAAGGTAGCAGTGTAGACATAGTCTATAAGTTGTGCATTCAAAATGTTACCTTAGTCAAAGTACATCGTATTTAGCATTAAATAAATGAGCAGAAAATAATACTTTTACTTCACCAATATCCAAACTAAAAGTACTCTTTTCCACAATGGTCCATTTGCATGCAGTATGTTATTGGATTATAGATATTGGTGCATTATGAATTGATGATGTTTTCATCAGGTTACTATCGAAGCTGTTTAAGATACAGCTTGTGTTTTTTTAGTATATATACTGCCGGGTAGCTTGTACATTTTGTGAAATGATCAATAACGATTATCTTAACCTATAATAATACATAGGTGTGTGGCGCAGTGGATAAAGCCTTGGAGTTGGAATCTGGGGGTCACAGGTTCAAACCCCACAGCAGTCAGCATGTCGTTGTGTCCCTGGGCAAGACACTTCACCCCAAATTGCTCCTGTGGGGATTGTCCACAGTACTGAGTATGTAAGTCGCTTTGGATAAAAGCGTCTAACAAGTAACATGTAATGTAATGTACATCATTATGTTTTGTTTATGATAATTTAAATCCTTAATGTGAATCTTCAAATTAACTAAAGCTACGAAAAGTACAATATGTGTTTCTGAATTGCAGTGGAGAAGAAGTATAAAGTTGAAGGAAATGGAAATACTCAAGTAAAGTACCGTCAAATTGTACAGTAATTATGATTATACATGTATCACGGCTAAGGGGGCGTTGTCAAATCGGTCTTGCTGCCCGCAAACTAAGAGATGCAGGTTTTATTAAAGGTAAAATAGAAGCTAGAAGGTACTATATACTATATTTTCATTATTTGTATATTCCATTCTTTATGCAACCACTGAAAAACTGTCCATTGTCAGTGGGATGACTTTGATAACCTCTTGTTTTCTGTTTGCAGTTTTTTTGGTAGGTGTGTAGACCTCATTTCTGACTGTTTAAAAATGAACCCACACAGAGAAGAAAACATATCCCCTCCCTGCTTCAGCTGCTTTTAATAAACAAAATGTTTTCTTCTGATCTTGTTCCACCTTCTAATGTTGGGCCAGATACTTTGGCTGGTGATTACAACTAATACACACACACCCAATTACCTTGCCAAATACACACATGCATATGTGAAGGCAAGTTGCATAAGCAAGACAAAGGCAGATATATACTCTAAAAGGTCCAGAGTTGACCCCAAACATTGACCGTAAAGAGAGCAACTGTAATTTCTGTGATATATATTTTCATTACCGTACACAGACTTTACTCTCAATTTTGCAAACATATTTGCCATATACTTATTTTGTTATTCCTTGTTTTACTTTCTTCATTCCTCCTATTTCAACCTTCACTTTTTCACCTCATTCCTGTTCTTTCTATTTCATTTTCTGCCTCTTTTCTTCTTTGTTTCTTTTCATTCCTGTCTCTTTTCATCTTCAGGGGGGTAAATGGTTCAACAGTGTGCTACATTTCACACATTCACTGGCGGGGTACCCCTTAGTGAGTGTATGTGTTTGTTTAACCCCTTCTTGTATTTACATTCAGGTCTGTAGAGAAAAGGCAGCAATTGGAAATGAGCACGCTCAGGAATATGAGTACTGACAGTCCAGTATGTGAGTGTGTGTGTGTTTAAGAGTGTGTGTCTGTGTGTGTGAATGTGTCCAGGGGGCCAGTGTTTACCTAAAGGGTCATGTCCTTCCAGGTTTTAATATAGAGACACTGGATAAGTGGATAACCCGTGTGTGAAGGCTGGTTGTTGCAGCATCAGGGCCAAAAGCAGCCTGATGCTGACAAACCCAGAAAACCACCGCTAGTCCTAAAAACTGACCACGGTCACATTCAGGCTTCACTCAGACACAGCATGCATCACACTTCAATGTCTCACTTCATAATTCAGACAGGAGCTACCACAAGCTCTACATAACTCTAGAAGATAATTTATTTTTGCTTCAGCTTGCTTTAAATATTGCAGTTTTGACAAAAGTTGAAGTTTAACGCGACTGAATGCTGCTAATCAAAAATACAAAACATTTATCTTTACATGGATGTAACTTGGCTCTACTTTTAACCTGATCTACTGCTTGAATCAGGTACTGTATGTTCAATCAAGGTATTGTGCACTAGATGTTAATTCTTGACACGGGAAACAGCAGTTTGAAGATTGTTCAGTTTGGTCCGCAATAAGTGAGGTAACAACAACAACATCTGTTTATTTTAAGCAGTGCTAGCCATACAAGATCGAGTATCTCCAACTTTAAAACTGAAACGTCATGGGCAAGAAATTCAGCACCAAGAAGTCAGA